TTTTTTTTTGTTTGAGGGGGTGGGGCTGGGGTTGCGCCGTCCCATGGCGCTTCCCAAATCCCGAACCCCCCTCCCCACTGGCCGCCATGCGGCCGCGCGGACACGTCCGCGGGGTCGCGACCTAGACCACGGCCGCGGACTTGTCCGCGGATGGCCGCCGCCGAGGGGGATTCATAGGTGGGAGGAAGTGGCTCGCCAACCCCTGCTTGGCAATCGATGGATTGTAGATCAGCAGGGATGAGTCTTTCCTAGTTGCAGTCGCCTGTGGAACGGATGGGTAAGAAACGGGGTCATGAGGGTTGGGGATCTGTGGGACCACACCAGGAAGGACTGGGTCTCAAAGGACCAGCTGAGAGCGAAACTCCCCCACTGCCAAAAAATAGGGGAGAGGTTGGACTAGATCCTCTTCGCCTTCCCTCTCGCATGGCTGCAGACTCTTCGGTGGCAGCCAATAATGGAGGAAGGGGACTGGGTGATTCTAAGAGGGGACGCAACTCGGGTGCGGCAAGTGCTCACAGTCAAATTAGAGGAGGTGTTGGTAAACTTTTTTTATCGTACACAAGTAAATTGGTTGATCAGGGGAGCATCGGGTGAAGTCTACCAGATCGGTGTTGAATCAGTCCACAAGGTGAGGGTCCTATGGGACGGGGAGTTCAAGGTGGCGTTTAGGCGGGAGATATCAATCCAGGATCTCCCCATGGACGCCGATGAGTGGAGATGGAAGATCCCCATGAGGAAAGATCGACCCAAATATCATTACCTTCACACACTGGGCGTGAAGGCAACCTACCAGATGCTCAGGATTAAACTCAACCTGAGGGACTGCATATTGGACCGATGGGCAAGACATTTAAATGCACCAATGGAAGTCCTGAGACCAATAATGGTTTAAAGAGGTAAAATTTAAACTGGCCAACTGTGTTGCACCCCGTACGTCATACGGGGCTCTTGTCGTACGACCGTACGGACGATCGTACGGACGGTCGTACGGCCGTATGAACAGTCCTGTACAAACTGACGACCCCCCCCCCCCCAAAAAAAAAAAACGAAAAATAAAAATAAAAATATGGGGGTGTAGAGTTTTTCTTGCTCTACACCCCCATATTTTTTTTAAGTTTTTTTGGTCTTGTTTTATATTTATAAAAAAATGAAAATAATCAGAGCAGGGAAAAAAAAAACAAAATAAAGAAATAAAAGGTGGTTGATTGATTGATTGATTGATTGATTGATTGATTGAATAGTCGATTGATTGATTGATTGATTGATTCATTGATTGATTGATTGATTGATTGATTGATTGATTTAAAAAAAAAAAAAAACCTTGCACCTAGGCGCGCAGCTATGTTAGAGCTCTCTAGTGGACAGAGACGGTTCTTAAATTAAGGCCATACTCAGGCCCTACTCAAACTAGGGCCTTTTATGGCAAAATAGCTCAAAATTGTTTTTTTGTTGTTCTTTTGGCAAACACCCCGAGTAAGTGCTAGAGGTGCTGATATGAGCAGACACCTCTAGCACCACCCGGGAGGCTCCATCTATTGGTGGGGAGCACCACCTGCTGAAAAACGGGTCCAGCATCCCTTGGATACATCTGGGGCAAGGTCCCACTTGCACGGATTACGAGATTCTGACCGTTGATTTGTGCCATCTACGGTCAATATCTCCTAATTCATGTAAGTGGGACCTAGCCCCTGTCCACTGTAATGAACTGTTGGGCCTGTGCCTTTAGAGTTGCTTTTGGGAGCAAAGTCTTTCCCTTAGGGCTGCATGGATGTCCCTTCCCTTTTGTGGAGCCCCTATTTCCTACTGGGGTAGCCCCACCCGGGATGATGTCAGGGCCGAGGTCCCATTAGTAAAGAGGATCGGATCGAATGCCTGAATGTGGACGTGTTTTATGCAGAGATGCAGAAAAGCAGTTCAATCTCGATTTCCTGCACCTCTCCACAAACACGTCTAGATTCAGGCATTCGATCCAATCCTCTATGCTAGTGGGACCACGCCCCAGTTGTCTTATTGGCTAAAGCTCGAAAAATAACTCAAATTTGATGGTTGGGCCAGTCGCACGAGGCAGGGAAAGTGGCAAAAAAAAAAAAAAAAAAAAAAAAAGGTGGCAAAAACAGAAAAGGGGGTATCAAATGTCAAGGGCATTTTGCTGCAGTTAGGGCAAACTCACACTGCCACCCCAAATCTGCAAAATATGCAAATCCACAAAAATATGTGGATTTAAGAAGGGCCTATTTGAGGTTTTGGGCATGGTTGGGGTCCTGTACCTTATAGGATGGGACAAGGCCCTGGCTGTCTGAAGAAATGGCGATTTGGTACTTTGCTGGTCACACAGGCGCCATCCACGAATTGTGCAAGAACTTTTGTGAACGAGTTTTCACCAATTTTTGAAGAAAATGCTAAAAAATAAATAGGGCATTTGGAGGTGACCGCAGATTACCTTGCCCTGCGGCTACACAGGCGACTGACAGATGGGCACACAAATAGTACATTTAGCACGTTGGCAAATCTGTGTGACCGGCCCTCTACCCTTTTTGGGGGGCCATTTGGGATTATAGGTCCCAGTGTGAGTATGCCCTTAGGACCCCCTCACACTGCGGTAGCAAATCCGCATAATCTCAAAAAATAGTAAGAAAGGGAGATAACACAGTGCAACTACAATCAGGGGGGCTGCGCAATAGGGCTGGGATAACGAAAAAAGGGTGCTCTGACAAGGGTAGGGAGATATAAGCAGCTCCAAGGGAAAAAAGGGAGCCCCAGAGTGTGAACAAGAAAACCCACAAGCCCTTGTGACGAACCACTTTCTGTAACGCACGACTTTCTGCGCGGTTGCAACGAGGGGTCCTAAGCTGGGAAGGTTGGGCCAATTACGGGATATCGGAACCGGTGAGAAACTGCATCAGTGTCCTTGCTTTTTCGTCTTTTTCGTCGCTTCTTTTCGGATGGCTGGGTTCGGAGCTGGGTGTGTCCTGGGACGGTCGGTTGATTGATTGGTCGGCCGGATGGCTGGTGCACCACCCCGCGCGCGATTAATAAATGTTGTCATCGTTTCTTTTGTTTCGATTCCAAACTTTTGGGCGCGGACATCACGCGGGAATTTGCTTCGTTCTTTTTCAATTTTCTTTTAAATCTTTTTCGAATTCTGTCGAGCCCCGATGGCTCTCGGAATTTCGGACTTTTTTTCTGGCTTTTGTGCTTTTTGCTTCTTCTCATTAGATAGGAATTTAGGAATTTTGTAATTAGAATTTTCCTTGCCGCGCTACGCTTTTCGTCCACGCGCTTCTTCATGCGGCTGCAACGGAACTCTGATTAGTCGGCGCCCTTAATCATGTGTGTAACTGTAATTTTGGGCGGGCGCCATTGTACCTGTATCTTTCTTCTTGCGCTTCGTCTTTCCCGCCCTTCTTCTCTTTCTTTCGCTGCGTTTTTGGTA